GACACCCGCGACACAGTTTCCCTGGTGCGGGGCTATGTTGAGTGTGTGCGTTATTATTATTATTATTATTGTTATTAATATTTACTTGGTATCATAAAAACCCTTTAAGGAGAATCTTAATTATCTGCTATAGCAGATATTTAAGATTACCTATAGGTAATGAAATTAAAATGTACCGTAATATGGATTTATCGTAATATTACTTCATTATGCATAGGTTTTCTTTAATAAACCATACTAGCCTGGTCAAGTCATAAGCAGTAGAGGTCCTTGTGAAGGGGTTCGTCCAGGGAAGTACTGCCACCTTACCTATTTCAGCCGCCAAGCAGTAATGGGAGGTTAAATTACAGACACCTAGAAGGGACTTGCCAATTTATGTCTCAGGGCGACGTGACGAGCGCAGTGGCAGTGCCCAATAAATCTTTGCGATTTCAAGCTCTGAGTGGCACTGCAACTGTTATGGACAGACATGTAGCTTACCATCACGCACAAGACTTGATTATCCCGTCACCTGATATTATGAAAAAAAAAAATACAATATTGACCTAATCACCTAGACAAAGAGCATGAACGCATCGTCTGTCAGTCCGCGTACGTCTGTCTATCAACCGGACGCACGTCGTTAAAAAGGTCACTCTTATTAAAAAAAATGTGAAAAATAGAAAATGATACCATCTTTAATCTTCTGAAGCTAGCCATTACTGACTTCTGAAGCCATACAGACTTTTTATAGAAATACCTAGTATTTGAACTCTTTACAAAGGTTTTAGCAAGTTGACAGAATTACTTTTCTCGTATACTTTTTGGAAAGATAATAAATAATATTAAGCTACAATCAACCTAAAGGCACTTTATCAATGCTTTATATCAACTAGCACGTAACTAAATGTATTTAAATATCAATAAATTTGAATCTCATTGGCATTACATATCGCAATCGTTGTCAATCAATAAATCATTTAATTGTTACACTAACTACGATTTTAGCTTTAGAAAAATTTTTATGTCGAATTCTAAGTAGGTATGTGATTGTGGTATTGTAACGTTTTCTCAAACGCGTTAAAAAAAAAAATAGAATCAAAAAGTCTAACGTTCAATTTCGAATTATGAATTTTCTTTCACGTCCCATTTATGCAATAAAGAATCATGCATCTATCGACATTCGATTTAATTTTTTTTTGGTATGTTAAAATTAGCATGAAAATGTTGGTAACGGATTTGCACGCAGTACAAAACTGGGCACAATGCGAGACAAATTTCAGAATGGGGATCCATTTCGAACGTCAATCGGCATTACCAAGTATTACCATATTTGATAGGCGATACGGGCTCCTGTCGGTACAGTATGCTAATACTACTTTATTATGGCCAGTGTATAAATCGCATTGTCGCGACTGCCTACAATTGCAAGTTATTTGATTATTATGCGTTTTTATTGCCTACACTTGCTAGGTCATTACTATTTACGTACGCTTATAGCTACTCTACTTATATGTTAAGTGTAAGTAATAAATAATTTTGATAAACTTTATTTTCAAAAGAACGCAACCGTTCGAGTAGGTGTAATCTAAGGATACAGTTCCGCTAATACTTAATAATAGGGGTTAAAGTATGAAATTGCCGATTTGTACTGAAAATCAAAATTGTTTATTTTTTAAATTTTTAACATATTTATTTAATCAAAATAGTTGCCATTATTATCTATACATTGCTGCATCTAATGGGAAGGTTATTAATGCCTTTGCGATAGAACTCCGACGATCTAGACTGCACAAACTGTGTGAAAGCATTTTGTACTGCCTCCTGGGAAGAAAACTTCTTGTCACGTAGATAATTGTCCAAATCACGAAAAAAATGGTAGTCCGTTGGAGCAAGGTCTGGTGAATACGGAGGATGACGAATGGTTTCTAACTGCAGTTCCTGAAGGGTCAAAATGGTTTCTCGTGCTGTGTGAGGTCTCGCGTTGTCGTGGAGCAATAATGGTGAAGATCGATTCATGAGTCGGGACTGTTTTACTGCTAGTTTTGTCAACATGGTTCGGAGTTCGGCACAATAGACATCTGCCGTTATTGCTTGACCAGATCGGAGAAAGCTATACCTAGTGAATAACACCATGCTGAGACCACCAAACAGTTACCATTACCTTTTTATTGGTAAGTTTTGCTTTAGGACACTGTTGTGGCATTTGACCTGGGGTCAGCCATTGCATTTTTCTTTTCCGGTTATCATAAAGAATCCACTTTTCATCACATGTTACAATTCGATCCAATATTCCTTCATTTCTGTACCGGTTCAACAAGGCAACACAAGTTTCAACACGCGTTTCTTTCTGCAGATCAGTCAAATCATGAGGCACCCATTTTTCGTATTTTTTTATTTTATTGATTTGACGCAAGTGAGTCAATATTGTGGGTAAGGTAACGTTAAACCATGCCGCTAATTCCTGGGTAGTTTGACTAGGATCGGCTTCCACTATCTCTCTTAATTCATCGTTATTCACCTGTGTGGGCGGTCTTCCTCGTGCCTCGTTCTTTAAGTCGAAATTTCCATCACGAAAGCGTTTAAACCAAAATCGCACGGTGCGTTCATTAGTAGACCCCTCTCCAAACGCAGCATTGATATTGCGGGCTGTTTCTGCCGCGTTAGTTCCGCGTCGGAACTCGTATTCAAAAATCACTCGAATTTTCGCAGTATCCATCTTTCTCGTCTAAATTGAATAACAAAAACAATTGAAAGTCGATATTCAAATGTTTCAAATAAAAAAAAAAAATCACAGAAACCATTTGAAAAAAGTTTCATTCGAAAACCTCAAACCATGAAGATTCTATGAAAATTCAAAGAACCTATTGCAATAAAACGACAATTTCATACTTTAACCTCTAATATTATCTATAAAATGCGCAGAAAATTGTTTGTGATATTTCAAATGTTATTAAATATGCAGAGATGAGTATTTATGTTAGAATAGATTTTCTATGAATCAATGTAATCCTTTCATGTTCATAAAGAGCATCGTAAAAGACTTGTACCGTTCTAAGTACTATAATAAATACTTTATTACTGGCTAGCATTAGCAAATTTGCACTAAAATTACCAAACATTAACATTTAATGTTATATCATTAAACTGGGATAGTTTGGCTGTAACTAATACCTATATTACTTTTATCACTTCACCAATAAAGTAATTTGTAACGGTCTGTTAAATTCCGTTGTAAATCTAACAATCCAATTTTAAATACAGTGGCAGAGCAATAAAAAATCACAACACTACCTGCCTTTACACATGTCACGCAATTTACATGAATGTAATATAGGCGTGCCTTGTCATATGCAAAAATCATTTATCGTCATTTAAAATTTCTTTATCAAGGCTCATGCACAGTACGTTGCGAATTTGTGAATAGATTTTTTTATTAGCAATAAAATTTCAATACATATGCAGTTAATTTACGTATGCTGAATTGTAGACCGCACATTGTGATGTTGTGTCGAACGCGCGTCGCCCTTAGGGCGCGACCCACTGCCCTCGTGGCTGCCATTTCACATGTTACAATTCAATTTTGGAATGATTTTATTGTCATATATTCATAAACATAATTTTTTGAACGGTCGGTTTTTTGGTGGTGACGTCGATTTTTGACAATTCCTCATTTAAATTTGAAATGGCTGAATGACATTTTTTGAAATTTTAAGAATTCGGAATATATATCTGTATCAGTTACCGATTTGCATGTAAGTTGCATTGTCGTTTTATTGGATCATATCTTGAATGATAGACGTATGTTAATTTTTTCATACAATTTTTAACCGTTAGCAGTCAAGTGAAAAAGTTATGGATTCCCTATAGTTCGATCCGATTCGATATTGAAGAATGTTATTCTTTAATCTAGCTTCCGCTGCACCGTAGGGGCCATTGATGTGAAAAAAATAGAGACGAATTTTTTTCGAATATTGCCTCTTGACCTTAAAATATTCCAACGATCTTTTGGGAAGAAGTCGATACTGTTATTATTTATCAACGACTTGAGTTTGCAGTAAAAAAAATTTCACTTGTAAATTCTATTTCTTAAATATACTCACCGTGCAGTTTAACCCTTAACATTAATTTATTCAGATAACTATAACCAATAAATCAACTAAAACTAAATAGAACTAAAATTACTGTTGTAAGTCAAATGCATTTTGAAAGTAAATGCATTTTGATATCTAATAGTAATATTTTAAGTATTTTTTAATTGTTACTACCTGTATATTTTTCTAAAGTAGCCTGAATTTATTGAATAATATTTTATATTATAGTTTATGTAAACATACTAAGAATCGATATGTAAGTATGTTATAGCTATGAAATGTCATAAATAATTTCTTAAATTGAAATTAGTATGCAACTTTTATAATAGAGTGACATACTGTACAAGTTATTTCGATTATTGAGGAATATTGTAATATTCCTCAATATCTATATAATAGATATCGGTAGATTCCATAATATTGTCTGACAAAGTCACACTTTTGTTACTTTCGCTGAAACATTAATGATTTGTTCCACAGGCATTACAACGTCCACAAACGCTAAGTGGCCCATTGAATGGTTCAGGTGAAACAATTCGGCATATCGTGGCAAGTAACGAGCTCTGCCATACGATTTATTTTTATTTTATGCGGCGAGCCGTCGTAAACAAAACAAAAGAAAAAGAAATACAAAAGACAACGGAACTGAAAGAGAGCACGCGGCACAACGCGCGCTACCAATTTTGTGTTGTCCGCCAGTTGTTAAACGTTTAAAATCTTATTTCGAATTTCGAACAGTTGGTCTCATTCCGCATAACAACGTCCTGAAGGCAATGGCAGTTGCTTGGCCAATCGGCGCGCGTCTTTCTTTTTCGTGGGCGTATTGGAGCGTTTCTATTGGTTGGGCCGCGTGGGTTTATCACTCGATTTGTTAGTAGCGCCGTCACCGCAGTCTCGCTGCACGATTGTCGATTGTCGCCATTGTCGAGCGAGCGGCGGACGCGCGGGCCGCTCAGATTCGCACACGGTTTTTATCGATAACTCCTTGATTAATCGATCGTTATCATCCAGTTATGGTAATATAATTGTTTAAATTTTGAAACAGTGTTTAGTCAAGTGCAGTGGAGAGACTGCGTTTTGTATTACGAGGTTTTAAAGACATCATTCTGGAGCTGGACTTACATCAACGTGCCAGCGGTCACTTCATGAGGTACTATAAGTTAATACTGAACAATACTGGTCAACTGAAACAATACTTATGAGTTGAAGTCGAGAAATTAGTGACTCTCAGAAGTCAAAGGCCTGTCTCAGAAGTTAACGAACGGAGGTGACGAATGAATTTGTTTTGCTGTTTGTTTACTCAACTATGAACTTCCTTATTTAGTTATGAGAATTTATGTTTTGACCATTGGTAAAGTAAAATGTTATTGTTATTAGAAACATATCCTAATTAGGATTACACCATTTATTTTAGTAATTTAATAAGGAACCTATATTTTTAGACCACGTGATAACATCAGCTGCTGTGTGAAGTTATTTTTTCTTTTTCATTTAAAAAACGAATTGTGTTTTACCTATGTGTAATTTATCTAAATAGTATTTTTTACATGCGGTCTTAAACGTTTTGTCGAAAGCACTAATTTTGACACGTTATTAGTAATGACTTAATGAACAAAACACTCATTAGGCTGGTCTTCGTATCAGTGAGAAGGGTGACCGCGTTACAACTTTGCCACGATTCAAAAGTTTATTTTTTAAGTTTATATACTTATTTTTACGTTGCTACTTCCAACGTATTATGGGCTTTATAATACGGTACCTATATAATAAAACGTTATGAGTTACTAACAATGAAAAAAAGCTTACTTATATGCAATAAAATAATATTATAATTAGAAAAGCTTAAGTCTATTGACACTTATACTGCCGACATCTTATTTTTATAATCCGTATTATGAATCTTACTTTAATGGTAATAGAGGAATTCCCGACAACGAACGAAGTTTTCCTTTTAAGTGTAGGTAATTACTTCGAGTGCTCTTACAAAGATAGTAACTTAAGTAGGGAACACTTTACGAAATCCCGACATTAAAAAGGAATTTTTTATGGAGTATTTGGGTGTTTAACAAGATTAGCAAGAGCAATATTCGGCAAATAGTTTTACCATGTAGCTCCCCAAGATACCGACGGTAGCTACAGATCTCCAGGGCTACAATTTATCTGAAACTGTCCTACTGTTTAGTTCAACGATGCTCATACAAAAAAGGTTGACTTCCATACAAATGAATGAATAGTTGGTGTAGCTTTGTATAAGAAAAAAAATTAAACTTTCAAGGTCATAGACCAAAAGTTGTTTACAGTTTTTTTGACAATGACTGACTGGCTTCTGACAATGTTTATTACATTGAAAGTAAAGTCTATATTTTTTATTGCTAATTACGTTCAGAATCGGATTAATAAGTGGTTATAATATGTTATCAGTTTAATGTAATACAATAATTACAAAAAGTGCCTTTATTACGCAATCGAGATTTACAGACTCACACTTATCACCATCAAATATAATTGCTGCAATTACGAGACGTTCTTATAAGAATCTGTTTCAATATAATTAAGTTGTAAATTGAACAACTTAATGAACACATCATGCATAACACTGACCATTTGCAAAGATTTATTTTTTGAATTTAAAAATTTAGCTGGAGTGGTAGCCGCGAGATTGCAAAAAAAAATAAAAGAGAATTAAAATAGTTTTGTTGGTTAAGGTGGTAGCAGTATTTTGTATTATTAGTTTGGTATCAATGCCATGCTAGAGTTTTATTTGCAGAAAAAATAAAGAAACCATTAAGTCCAAATGAATATATTTTTTTAGGAAATCCTTTTTTCGTCATAGTTATATTCATACAAGTTTGTAATTTAGAGATTCACAATAACATAATAGTTATAGTTTCACTATGCGCTGTCAAACATTAAGTATACAAACGTATATAAGGCATAATATCTTTTTGCTAACACGCACTAAATAGTAATAATCAGAAAGCTAAACTATGTATACCTACGTGTCATAAACCACTTGGTACCAAACTCGGAACATATTCCTCTTGTGATTGATTTATCGTAGAATAACTAAGCACTAGGCAAGTTTTTTAAGGCAGTTCCTGCTTTATATCTTAAACTGTAAGCTCATATATGTATATCAATGAATTATATTTTTAAAGATATTTCAATCAAGAGCACGTCAAGATTGACACTTTGTACTTTGGACCGTTCTTAACGTAAGCGGCATAGAGTTGGATTTAAATCTTAAGTGTCAAGCTTGACGTGCGATTGACCCTGTACAATTAGTGGTCAATAGTCGCTTTCGAAAGCTGAGTAACAGTACGTAGCTATTACGGTTACAAAAATATCAGATACGGCTGTTGCATGGACATCCCTAGAGAATAAGAATACCTATATTTGTCGCTATTTTTAAAAATAGAAAATGCGTTCTATAAAGGAATAAATTCATATTCTTGTCGTCTATTATAGAAGGTAATTCCAATAGGCGGCTGTATTAATACATTACATTATTTCACGTTCATTCAATTATTATAATAGACAGACAACGGCGCACCAGACTACACATTTTTGTTCGAAAGTCGCCTCCAGTGCAACGGAGCAAGATACGTCATTGTGTAGCTCGATGTGCTGGCGTGTGTACATATTATAACCTTTTAATATAAGGAGTTCATCATATTTCCTAAGATTATGTTTTTAAAAGTCTATAGATAGTATAATAACGCTGCCACGTTTCTATAGGCGTCGACCATGTTTCTTTTAGCACGCATTATCATTATTTATTATTGCCATTATTCATTATTTATTATTCTCGATTGTGTCTACAAAATGTCAGTGAGTTTGACGAATTAATATCTAAAATAGAATGAAACTTCGTTCGAACGGAGCGTGCACGCAGGGCTGTCCTCTGAACTCCACAATACATTTCTTTCTTTAAAGCAAAAAGCCATCACGAAGTGAAACAAAATACTGTCATCATTAGGAGCCATTCACAATCAGTGGCCAATAAAAGCAATTACTACACTAATGAAGCTACAATCGAAGCATCTTTACAACACGTGTCGTAAAGGGTTTATTATTTTTATTTTTATATTTTTCACAATGGAACGCGCTTTGTATACTGCCGACGGAGATTGTACACTGCACGGGTACATTTACTAAGTATCTGCGTACTCGTTGCCTTAGAATAAATATCTCGTATGTGATTTCTATGTAGTTTTTCAGAACAAAGCAGTAGAGTTTCTTATGAAAGAGTTCGTCCAGGGAAGTACTGCTACCTTACCTATTTCTGCCGCCAAGCAGTAACGTGACAGGGGTGCTGGTAAAATTACAGGCACATGGGACTTATCAACTTATGTCTCAAAGTGACGGGTGTAGTGGCAGTCTTTGCGATTTAAAACTTTGAGTGACACTGCAACTGTTATGGACAGGCGTGTCGCTTAACGCCACTTGGTATCATAAAAAAAGTATTATCGAAAGCGGTAGTGGCCCGGTGGAACAACGGTTATTTCTTAATTTAGATATTTTTCCAACGGATACATTTTGGGGAGATGTGCGCTGGAACTTTTCAATTTAGTTCCATTCTCACCGTTCCTCTTTTGGTTCACTACACTCCATCCTTATGTCGTTGATATACAACCCATTCGCACTAAGCGCTTTGTTTCCTCCTTTGCAAAGGCAAAGGAATGGAATACTCTACTATGGCATCAGTGTTTCCCGAAAAGTACAATTTGGGGCTATTCAAGGCTAGAGTCAATAGGCGTTTTTTAGACAAATGCCTACCTTTATCGGTCACATTGTCGCTTACCATGTTTATAAAAAAAATAAAATAAAAAACAGTTCAACGGTTCCAATACTTGTGGCGGTCTGCAACTATAACTTTCTTCTTTCATTAAAAAAAATCTTTATTACGGACAACAGATATCCATGACGTGTTACAGAGGCACTTCACAAAGATATTTGTATTTGCATGTTTGATTTATTTGGCAAATAATCACCATGTGCAATTGGCATTTGTGACAAAGCATTTGCCTTGTTTCCCTATTCGACAAATGCAGCAAACACCAACCGTGACGCACATCAAAGGAGGATAAGCAAATACGCAAGTAAACCGTCCACGCTATGGTCATATTCATCATTTTAACTCCTTATTTGGCTCCATGTGTAAACGGTCATATTTGTCAGTGTTTGCATGTTTCGTCGCCTTGGATGAACTGGGTATCAACTCAAAAGTTTGGACTTTTTACTTTAAAATATAATCCTATTAAAAAATCGAGATCTTTCTAATGAACAAGGTCTTATAACGATTTACAACCAAAAAGAATCATCAAAATCAGTTCACAATTAGAAGGAATCGGAACGGAGTTATCGCGTAACATACATACAAAAAAAAACAGTCGAAATAACCTAACAATTAATTGCTGAAATCAAGATATAAGTTGGTATTAACAAACAAAGTGGGTAAATTTTACACTGCTAGTAAAACTTCAGACATTCGAGAAGTTGTAACTCTCGTGTACAACATTATTTCTCTTTTAACACATATCTAACAACAGCGGCCGTCTGTTCTCGCCGCCTGCAAACAATCGATCATACGTGCGTCTGCGCAACCATTTAGCGGGCGGCGATTTCACTTAGTACCGCGCGTTTTTGGAAACAAAAGAGTTGAGATTTTACTTGTTTTCAAGGTTTTTAATTTAAGTTAACTGTGAATTAGGGAAGGACTAAATGAAATAGTTTTATAATTCGGAATCGTCTCACCCTAGAGGACGACTAACCCAGCCATTGTCACTTTGTTAACTATCACAAAAAAAAATTTTTTTCTTCCTGTGACCTAGCTCACGAACTAGAATAACCTACTGTTTCTATTATCATTATTGTGAGCTAAATATTTATAATGACAATAAACTATTTAATATTACATTTATTAAATGTAATACAGAAACATTATTTTATATAATGGCAATCTTAATATTGTCTGTAGTACTGAGGCATTTGGTAATTTGAAATTCGTAGAAAAAAAAATGGCCAGCGAAAAAATTAAAAGAAAATTTACTTAATAATTGATGAAAATTTAAAATGTAAACTCGTAATTAGCCAAACTGCCAGATCTTTATAAGATTGCTAATTACGAGTAGGCTTTGCCTGTCCCGA